CCCAGGCCCGCCCGGCTCTGCGCCCCAGCCGCCCACCCCGTGTCCCTGCGCCCCGAGGCAGCTTTTCTGCAGGAAGCAGGACACACCGCAGCCCACACTGTTCTCCAAGCAGCCCCTTCCCTCCCCGGGTTTCGGGGGGCAGGGCAGCGTCTGAGCCATCTCCCGTGTCTCTGGGAGCTGCGGATCTAGTTTCCCGATTTTGCTTTTTCTGATGTGAGAAAGTAACGGGCCAGATCGGGCCACCGGCCCCTGGGCCTCCCGGCCAGGCTGCCAGGCGTACCCAGCCCCACCCTGCAGGCACCCACGCATGCTGAGCAGCTCCTGCGGCTGCTGGTGGTCCCCCCCGCCCACATCTGTCGCCTCCCGGTTGTGCCTGGTGAGGCGGGCAGCCGGGCAGGGCACGGCGCGAAGGTGTACCCAAGGCCCAGGCGGGCAGCCGGACACTGCTCTGGAGCCAGTTAGGTCCTCTGGCTGCGGTGCCAGGGTCTGCGTGCTCGTTTATTTACAGGCTTACTGAGGCATCCCAGAGCTGGGCACAGGCTGGGCGGGGGGAGGTGAGGGTGTGCCAGAGACGGGGGCACAGCAGGCGGGATCTGCCGAGACCCCCTGAGGGGCAGCGGGGACACAGGAGTCACCTGCTGGGCCCTGCCTGCTTGGCCTGACCCACCCTGGAGACCCAGTTTTTAGCTTCTGAAGGGCTCACAGAATGAACCCCGCGCAGCAGGGCCACCCCCCCTCGCCTCGTCTGGGGCGCTGGCAGCAGGAACTGGGGGACTGGTCAGCCCCTCGGGAAGGGGCCCAGACCTGGGGGTCCAGCGGGACTGAGGCGCTTGCCGCTTTCCAGGCCCCTCATCAAGGAGAAGCTGAGCCAGGGCATCACCCTTGTGGTGGACAGGTACGCGTTCTCAGGGGTCGCCTTCACCAGCGCCAAGGAGGTGAGTCTGCCCCACACCCGCTCCCTGGGCAGCGTCCGCCCAGCAGAGGCCGGGGGGCACGTCTGCTCCAGGGCTCAGCCAGGCTGGCCCCGAGTTTCCTAGCTTGAGGTCAGTGGGGGCACACAGGGCGGCCGCCCCCCCAGGAGGCCGAGTGTGTGGTTCCGTCTTTTGGGAACCGGTGGTGATGCCTGGGGGCCGGCGACCTGCTGCGGGCAAGAGCGGGGTGTCCCTAAGCGCCCCCCGAGGGTCACCGCCCCGGCGGGGGCGCCTCTTCCGGGGCGGCGTCCCCACTGCCGTGGGAGCTCGCCGGG